TCGGGCTTTCACGAGAGCCGTACAGTGATTTCATTTCACTCTATCGATCTCCCTTCCCTTTTTTGAGGGAGGGAGATATCTCATTGTGCGGGTCGTCATTACCATTTTTTTTGTTCCTCCACCAAGTCCATCCTTTCTCATTGTCGTGCACCACAGAGCTCTGCGTGTTGCTCTTTGAATTTCAAATGGATCCAACTCGTTTAAATTAATGGGCCCAACTTTGTTTACACGACCTGATGGAATTTTAAAGCGAATGCTCGATCATTGCGCCCTAGCTCGACTCTTTCGCGTTTATAAGGTTGCCACTCGTTTTGATGATTCCGCGAGAATCCAGGGGTGGGTAGGGGGTAAAAATGTCTCGGTCGCGCAACAACCGGGGAGTCAGCAACACGATCCGTTATTGATCTATCAGGCGACTATAGGCAGTGTGCAGGATGTACATTCATAGGTAAAGAGGGTGTACATATGTTTAAAGAGAAAGAAAATAAAAGTAGTAGGAGCCTCCACGGGATGAGGGAGAAGAGGGTCGACAATTCTCGGGAGAGCGATGCTCTGTTTATCCCGAGATGACCACGTGGATGTGGGTGGTCGTACATGGCCTGTGTTTTGCCCATGTCTCGCGACGACAAAACTCTGCGATAGCTTGTACACATGTATACTTTTCTCGTTATTTACTGAAATATACGTCATCGAGGTATATAACTGTTCCTATGCCCCAGTACACGAGGATACATCTTTAAAATTACTTTTGTCGGTAGTTGTAACTGCAAGTACTTCTGCAAAAAAATAGATTACAAAACGTGGATAAACACGGAAATGTTGCAAAGTTTCATTATTTTGATTGAGAATTTGTATTTATTATAAATTGAGTGATGTATAAAGTTTTTTTGTCTCCGGACTCTCAGTTGGCGTGCATTTTTACCCATTAAAAATCATTTGACGTTGTATAACGTGTGACTGTAAAATATAGATAATACGTTGCTTCATTGGATAATACGTTGCTTCATTGGGTAATTATTAGAAACATTAATTACAACGTTTATTTGTTGCTACGAAGTGGGTATACGTAATGTCTGGGAAAAAAAAAAATTTTCTTCCACTTCAACTGCAGTACAGCTCTGGTGCATGTTGTGTTTTATTTATGCTTCAATCTGAAACGCAACAAACTTCAACGCCAGAAGTTATTACGTCAACAACTGTTTGTCTTGTTTTCTTACATCATTAAAAATGGGTGATAATTTTATTTTTATTCGATTAAAAAAGCAGATTACGTATGCACCTATTCGAACCACTAACGGAGATGAGTTGCTTTTTTCAATTAAAAAATTTAACGTAATGACAATCCTCTTTTCCTGGCTAAAGCCTATTAATGTGAGTTTTTTTTTCCTGAATCGTCGTTCACATAATACGTATAAGTGTATACAATAAGTAAGTGTACGCAGCACCAGAAAAGCTTTATTGAAAGGAAAAAAATAAAATAAAAAATTTTTTTTTAAAACCACGCGTTGTACCAGCCAAACGGCGTAAATAACGAGAAACTCCCTCGACACGATGAATAATGCGCTTTTGGACATTTATCTATTTCACCGAACCATTGCCATAGATCAGCCCCCGCGTAGGTACACGCGTCAGCGCGAAATAGCACCGGTACACGCATCAGGGGTGCGATGCGCGCTTTGGCTCGAGCAGCGACACCAGATCCATTTTTCCATTTTCCCATCCATTGACGTGCGCTCCGCGGCCCGTAATCCGAGCCATTTTCGCGCCCATTCTGCCCCACGCGTCAACACACACATATAACGTATATACACATATATTTGTATGGCACGAGAGTCCAGGCGCGTATATGGAGGTGTACAGCAGCATCCCGGGAAACACGAGAGATTCCTGCCATTGTGGGAAACGACGAGATCTTTATTTCCGTGGCTCAAAGAGGAGTGGGTGCGGGGAGGTGGAGGAAGCTCCCCTTGACTTTTTCCGGCTCTCTTTCGTGCGTGCTTTGGGAAATTCGATACCCTCTTACTCGTATACTATATCACATTTTACGGATGCAAGCGCGGAAATCTGACTCTCGCGAATCCATGCACGCCTTGATGCCTGTACTGATGCATATATATATATATATATATAACTCTANGTAGATTTCCACATACTAAAAATTTTTTTTTTTCATACCCTGTGATTCGAAAATATTAGATACGTCATCTTTCAATATTTCAAATTTCGGACATGATTGATACTTATTCAAAAGAAAATAAAGGAAAATTTTCTTGAAAACCCAATAGTTAAAAATTAAAAATTTTTTTTTTTCATCCTATGTGCAGAACTTTTTAGATGCAGGTCATGACTAACCCTTTATCGTTCCAAACTCGAATTCAACTATCGAAAAATGTCGACTTAAATTCTAGCTCTTTTATCTCGAGAGCAAAGCAAACAAAAGCCAAGTGAAACTCATTCGATGCATTTCGATTCAAATTGATGTTTTCATACAACGAACGACGTTTTTTCTTCTCAAACGAAGCAATAAAATTTGAGATATCACCTCATTTCAAAGCCGAAAAATCAAGGACACCCCGAACTGGATGTAAATGCTCGTACAAGTCTCAGACATCGTTGTATAGACTACCACGGTATAAAAATAGAAGCCATTATCTCTTTCAGGCGACGCAACTATACGATGATGTTCACCCAGACACATCTCGAGATCGCATACCGTAGACTCGAATGAATAAACAAAACGCATGAAATTCGAGGATTTTACGATCCACGGGTGGTATAAATTTATCTTCGGCTTCCATTACGCCTTGAGAATGACTGTCGGGAAGCATTACGGTAACGTTTGACACGTCATTTCACCGAGACTACACAACTGGCGAAGCGTCTCCCTCCTCGCGCGTGTAGGTACAAAAATACACACGGGGTATCAATATCCGTTGTACGTATCTATTTCACGAATCAGCGGGATATCGGGGAACAAAAACATATATACAACAGCAGAATGAGTTCGAGATACGAGCAGCGCATCGGAAAATCTTCCCTCGGTTTTTTCGATTCCGTCGCGATGCGTTATATATACCAAAACGTATGTATACCTACGTGTATCGAATGACGCGCGAGCACAGCGAGAACACCTGTCCCCATTTTCTCGGGCACGCGTAATACGAAATTACTTTGCTCCGGGGGAGGAGCGGTTGGAGCCAAAGCGCCGTGAACAGGTATAATATATATGTATTTATACGTAATAGCAAACGCATGTGTGTGTCCCCCTGCAGCCGTGACGTACAAGAGAATAGAAACACGCCGGCCACAGCAGCAAGAGCCGGAACCAGCCGAGGGCTCGTCTTTGGATCTCAAGCGAAATCGAGCATCCGATGAGCATTGGGTGTCCCACTGCGGCAGGAACAACGTGTCCCGTAAGCGCAAAAAACCCGGGGCTGGTACGTATATATGTGTGTATATATATTTTTTACATAAGATGCACACCCCTCTGTATTACATACCTCACATTGTTGTCATTATCATGGTTGTTTGTAAGGTGGTGAGTGGTTTGACTATTTCGCTTGGGCATGAGATTTAGATTCCACCAACAGAAGTAATCGAGCCAGAGCTTATTTTTTTGTAAAGGTTCCATATTTTATAATGATAGGCATACTTATTTTTTAATTGTAAAACTACCGAAATGGCGTTCAAAAAATTTTCACTTTTGCGTGATGTTTTTTNCGTATTTATATATATATATCTTTCTCTTTTACGCGCTTTTTAATCTGCTTCTCTCTGCGCTTGCCATGTCGATTTTTTCACTTACGAGTACGACAAAGCGGTGAAAGCAGCATAGGCGCATATACATGCATATACATGGACACGGTCAACAATGAAGCAGTAGCCCCTTAACGAAGGGTATTTAAGCGAGATGGAGGCACGAGAAAGGTATAAGCCCATTGTTCAACTGTGTGCCTCGCACTGGCTATATATGTGTATACAACAGGCGGGCCAAGCCTCGACCGTGGCTTGCGATTCACAATCGCGGTCGTCCTCGGTTTGGCTTCCCTTTGTTTTGTCCTTTTTCGCGTCCATAGATGTACGTACGCGCTGTATATAGGTGTTTCGCAACGGCACGGGCTTTCCTTTATGCTTTGCTCCCGTTTCGGTCCGAAGCTTTCGCGCGTTTGATTATCGTATACACATATAGCTCCCACCTCGCGCTTTACAGTTTACGAAAGTTTGTTTGTTTGTTCGATGCTTCTTTTTTTTTTTTTTTTTTTTTTTTTGTTCTGTACTGCCAAATCACTGCATGTATCGCTGAATAATGAACAAAGTTACACCTCGAAAGTGGTACACATTTTTCATTCGAGCGTATATGATGAAACATACAATGCTCGAGCACCAGAGAGATTATTAATTTTTAGGGCACAGACAAAACGACACATGCACCTCGTTGCACACTCACGAAAATATTGATGTAGATGCACTGAAACTCGATGGTGATGATTTGTGAGTCGTACAGAATGATGCCTGCAGGTTAGAGGGACCGTAGGTGTATGAATTTACCAAATTATTGTTATTATGTTGTTACAACTATGGCTAATATTTTTTTTGGTCACTGAAAGACTTTACTGATTCAATAGAAAAATCCATTGTATTGGTCAATTTTTTGTACAAATATGACTGTACAGTTGATGGTGGTGAAAGTATTTATAAATATAACCCTCTCACTGGTGATGGAAGTAACGATCACGTATACATTGTAGTTGTTTCCGTATCGCTATCAATAAAACATTTATTGATGCAATATTATGAATTTTAACTCGTGGAACGTGGAAAATGTAAATAAACTTGGCTGGTTGAAATCAAGGATTATATGATACGAGATTAATCTCACTTTTCAACATAGTTTTAAGTAAGTGGTGGATGCGAGGAGACACTATTTTCATCAAACTCTTGACTGTCGAGATGACGATGTTTATAAAAATAAAAAATAATGTTTAATCGATGTGTCCCAGATCCGAGCCAATCAGCGAATAGCAATCACATGGACAGCGTATCGGAGGGACTATCCGAGCCCGAAACGAAGACGTTCTACGAGAACCTGCCCTTCCACGGCATACAGTCACCGCCAAACAAGGTAAGTCGCCATGATAAATCATTCGTTTGGCACGAATTTAATTTACCATGAGAAGCGCACGAGTGCGTTTTTGCTGCTTCTGTTTGTGTCGTTTGTCTTGTTGTTGTTGTTGTTGTTGTTGTTGTTGTTGTTGTTTTTTTGCTGTTGTCTAGCTTGCAGTGATTACATGTACATTTATGTATACAATAGTACTGCACACGTAAGCCCATACAGTCCATCACAGATGTTAAAAGGACGAGAGAGAGAGAGAGAGAGAACACAAGGTTGGAAAAAAGGGACTTGGTAACGACACGCGAGCTTTACCGGTTGAAATAGATGGATGAAAATTTTATCAAAAAAAACGCAAAACTGTTTCATCGTGCCTGTTGTTGATTCACTTTGCCTGATGAATTTTCTTCTGATTGATGAGATATTTCAGGTATACTTTAAGCTATTTGTTTTTCAGCACAATTGTAATATCGTACTTTTATAAGCAACGTATAGTACCGAATATCACATTTATTTTTTCTTCAGTAAAAAAACAAGTTTTGTAAATTTTAGATCAATTGTAGAAAAAAAAACTGCATTATTTCCCGTTCGGTGTTGGAAAAGAGAATTTCATCCAAATTGTTATCCGCTTCACTCGCCATTTGCAAGGAAAGAAAAACTTTTCCTCTTACCGCGTAATCGCGAACGTCGTTGTCTTCGAGTGGCCATTAGAAGGAAAACGAAGTGGAGATAGAGAGAAAGAGACCCTACATATAGTATCGCGGTACGTACACGGTCTCGATTCGGCAATCATTTAGAAATCCCAAGTTAACGCCCCATAAGCTCTACAGACCTACGCGAGTGTAGGGACGATTCCTTTTTCTATCTCTACAGAGCAGAGAAAGCGAACAAAGAATCCTCCTTAAAGTTGAAGGTGGCCCTGCGACATGTAATGTATACAACTCACTCGTACCAAACTCCACAATTACGCGGCTCTTAACATTTTTTTTTTTTTTTTTTTATACACGTATGCTTTATTTTCCGCTCTTTACTTTGGCGTATGCAAAAAATTGTACCCGATTATCAGTAATTTTCATTAACTCATACGCGTGTGATGTAAAATTTATTTGGAATCTTTAAAAGTATGAGTACGATAAATTACCATGAGTAAAAAAAAAGCTAACGTACCCACTGTGAAATAAAACAGATCTAAAACAGTACTGGTGCTACTGAACTCTCCCCCCAAAGCCACGTAAAATTTATTAGCGAACGAATATATATATAAAAAAGGAAACAAACGAAAAGAAAAGACTAATGAGAGGAAAAAAAAAATACCTACCGCCGAGTTAGAGAGGAACAGTTGGCCTCTGATAAACACGACCGCGGGCAAAGTGCTTATAACCGCCAGTTCCACGGCTTTCGCTCGATTTCTGCGCAGTGTGCCTAGGTATCCCGAGAGTGTATTTTTGCAGGTGTATTGTTTACGCGAAGCCTGAAACCCACCCGTGACGAAGTCGCACGCAAACCGGCCCGGCCGGTCGAAACCTCGCGAAAAAATATTTTTACTCGACTACGAGAGGCGCGGCTTATTCAACGAGCCGTGACAAGTCGAAGAGTTACAGCAGCAGGGGAAGGAATCGGATAATGAGGGGGAGGGGAAGTAAAACACACTCAGAAGTCCGGGGTGCGCGGAGCTAGGGTGATGCAAAGCCACCGTGAAATGATCGCATTATATGGCTCGCGCGGTTCACGAGTAGGTACTCGGCACTCGGAGTCACTGCTGCAGTACGACGAGAGGCCAGGTTGGAGGGTGAAGGAAGGGAAATCGTAGCACGTGCTGTCGCGTTATACAGGAACGTGAGAGCTGAAAAATTGGTAGGGAGACGGGGTGAATCGGAGAGTCCTTCTGTACCTAGGGGACTACCCGTGTTGGCCGTGTTTCATTTCCCTTATTTTAATTAATGAAAAAAAAAAAATATATATTTCTTACCACCGCTCATATCCTCTATTTTTTTTTTCTTTTTGTTTTTCTTTCATCCTCGTTTACGGGCATGTGTGCGCGTGTACTCATTTGCGTATCGCCAGCTCATGCGCGTAAAAAAGTGAATAGAAATGTCTGTAAGACTGCAAGTTCTCTCATTGAATGGATCCGAATCCGGATTAAAGCGTAAATTACGCAGCACGTGACTCCATTTTGCCTTTTGGTTAGTGTTTTCACCATTCAGATCGTGCTTAGAGGTATAAAAAAAAAGAACCTTATCTACGTACTACACAAGAATAAGGGGGGAAAGTGATGAAACCTTTTTATACTAAGGATCTGTATGTATCTTCAATTTGTACGTTTATTAAAAGACTTGTGTCGCATAACATTAAAACTAATGTATAGGCTGGAAATTTTCATAAATACTAGCGGTCTAAATCATTAAAAAAAAACAAAAAAAAACAAGTTGTTCAAGAAACGTTTACTTTTAAAAAACGTTCATTCAAAACCATCGTACGTGTATTTTATTTCCAAGTACTTGAAGGATTGATATTTTAAAACGTACCAATTTCCTGTATAATATTTAACGATAAAAAAGTCCACATTTGTGTACCCACCTATCTATGCACATAACATAAAAATTATGTCGAAAACGAGGTAAAACATGAACTTCTGATTAGTAAGTGTACCTATCACCTGATTCAATTAGTTGATGAACCTCGCAAAACTAAAGCTCAAACATGCGATGTCGAGCAGATCATACGCGTGAGCTGTAATTACGAGATTTCTTGTTTATCAGTTTGAAACTTTTAAATTTCATGAAGCTTCGTTCATTTTCATCACGCACTTGCCCCCTCCAAGGCAGGCAAAAGCACAAACGACTCAATGAACTCGGATGGTTACCACTGCGCTACGTGCATGATGTGAAAATAATGAAAGATCCTAAAGAGTCAAAAACATTAATACAGTTGCAAATTCAAGCTCTTGTGACATTAAAATACAATTTATTCTCTTTTCACTGTTAAAAAAAAAAAAAAAAAAAAANAATGTCTGACTATTTTCGATTTTGACTACTTACTCGACAGAAACGTAGCCTACGACCTGCAATGTCAGTTCATGAACATTTTATTAAAAAAAAAAATGTCTGACTATTTTCAATTTTGACTATTTACTCGACAGAAACGTAGCCTACGACCTGCAATGTCAGTTCATGAACATTTTATTAAAAAAAAAAATGTCTGACTATTTTCAATTTTGACTATTTACTCGACAGAAACGTAGCCTACGACCTGCAATGTCAGTTCATGAACATTTTATTTAAAAAAAAGATGATGTCTGACTATTTTCGATTTTGACTACTTACGCGACAGAAACGTAGCCTACGACCTGCAATGTCAGTTCGTTAACATTTTATTTAAAAAAATTCACCCATTATGAACCAACTCGCGACCAAAAGTATGAAAATTCAAACTCGAACCTCTGCTCGGATTGGTCTTTCTCCGCTCGTCGCGTCCGATCGATGAATACCTGTGCTGCAGCCACCTAATAATTCGACCCCCTACAATGTCGTCGACTCTCTCCGGCGAGAGCGCACGTATAGGTCTTCGTGAACCCATAAGTGCCGCGTAACAAGCAATATCGGAATAACAGTAGAAACGTGGACAAATCGAAAGGCAGCTGGAGAAACGGGGACAAGTCGATACTCGAGTAGTACGGGGGCAACACACACTACAGTGGTAGGTAAGGCCTGGGAGCCGAAAACTAGGTGAAATCGGGTAACGAAAAAGCTGTAGAGATGAAGAGAAACGGACGTTGCGAATGGATGGATGAGTTATCCTTGCGCACAGTTGGGCCTTCCGAGAATGGCAATGTCACGCGACAGCAAAATTGCAACGAAATGTAATCATCGCGCGGGTAATGGGGACGACGCAAAGCATTGTACAGCCGGAGTTGTTGTGCCGAAGCGCGCAAATGGCTTTCCATATTCCATCTCCTTTCCGAAAATCCGCTATTTATATCGGCCGTTAACGCCTGTATAGGTGCATCAGTGTACACACTCGTGCGTACAATGGGTGGGTACGTCGATAGTACACGGGTAAAAAAGGGATGACGCCTGCCAGTCCCGAGTAAGATCTCGCGAGTGTGCGAGCCTCGGGGCTCTGTAGCCCTTGTATCTATCGATTTTTCGTCGACTTTACTTTTTAACGTCTGCCCATGGGCCAAAGAATTTCCTCCATCCGCATACACATGTATATATGTACGGTGTGTTTGGCGTGATAATGCGTTTTTGAAGCCCATTTGTGGCGGACGATCGAAGCTCAAAGTATTTTTACGACAGGCACCGCGCGACTCCTTTGATCGAGCTAACACGAGCGTGATGTACCTTGGTGCCTTTATCTCGCGCTCCTCGGGCCATTGGGCTCCATATTACGTGCATGTGTATGACAGCGAGCTCTTTGAAAAATTCACCACTTGCGCTTATTCGGCACTTTACTCTGGAATGAGAACTTGATGGTTTTTTATTACGATTTTTTTCTTTTCGTTTCGCGTCAATTGTAGCCGAAAAAACGTAGATATGGAAATTAAATTGTAGGAGAGAAATATGTATATATATTTTTTTATTCCCCTAAATGAGTGATGCCAGCTCAAAAGTTGTGACAAAGGATTCCATGCACGTGTGTGTGCGTACTTGAGTGCTTGACATACAAACTTATGTGTGTTATGTAGAGTTTCGTGTATCATCGCATAGTCGGACCCTTTGTGAGGTTCCATTAGAGGTGCCTCGACTCACGATTTTACCGTCCCTTTAATTATCGTTGGAAACATGCGTCGTGAATATTAAAACTACGACACGAAGCGAGAGGTGGATAATATTGTTCGGACGCACTCGCGTTTAAACGACGTCTGCCCTGCACCGCCCTTTTATACATCATATCCATGCGTGCTGTCCATGTACAATTTTTAATTTTATTTGTCGTGTTGTACACAAAAATGAAACTGTACAATGTCATAAACTATTTTTTTTTTTTTTTTTTTTTTCATATACCTATGG